CTATATTACAAAAAGACATTCTACATAAAAAACATTTAAAAAAAATGTTAACCAAGCATTTGAAAATGTGTATAGAGAAAAGGTTCTCACGTATACAAATATAAAAAAACAATGTGGGAAAAACATTAGACCATATATTTTAAAAATGTTAATCATGCATTTAGAAAAAATGATAAAGAATTATTTGAAGAATGTCAATTTTTTTAAAGATGTTAATCAAGCATTTGAAAAATGTTAAACATGTATATAAAACATGTTGACCATGTACTAAAAAAATATTAATCTTGCATTTGAAAAAATATTAATCAAGCATGTAAAAAAAAGAAATAGCCTATGAGTGACAGTAGCAGGCCGACCCATTTTAGCGTGTGTTGGTTCGCTCGGCTCGTAGCGGTCGCTTAGGTCTGGTTACTATATTTTTTTCATTTTCTTTTGTTATTTCTTTCATTTTATTTGTTTTTCATCGGTTATTCTGGTTTTTTTTTCTTCATTTTGCTTTGGTTTTCTTAGTTTACTCATTGGTTTTTTTATTTTTGTTTCTTTGTTTTGTTTCTTTCTTGTATTTCCTTGTTTTCTTCGGAATTCATTTTGGCTCTAGGGAGCACATGCTCCTGCGTGCCAAAAATGGATTTTGCGAATGTTATTTTTTTTTTGAAAAAATAGATGTGTTCATTGTCAAAACTAAATGGTACATGCAAATTTTCAGGGGAAAACTTAAGCATTTTGACATGTGCAAAAAAAAAAAAACGTCAAATGTTACCTCGAAATATTACACTTAATTTTGTGTTTTCACCGACGAAGCACTGCTATCATATATGGCATAAAAATTGTCAAGCACACTTGCTACACTAATATGAACATCTACAAAAAGTTTCAGCTTTTTTACATTTTATTTACTATTTATTTTGATTTACTGTTCATTAAAGAGCATATGCTCCCCAGAGCCAAAAAGTCGCTTCTTGTTTTCTTCAGCTTTATTCTATTTATAAGTCATTTCTAATTGATATTTCAATTGGGTATTTGAGCATGTTGAATGGGCCAAATTAATCAGATGATCATATTCGGATAATCCACAAAAGTACTGGGTAATCCACATCGCCGGTAGTATATATTAGTGATACCATATCCATCGCATATCTGATTGACCAAAATCCGTATCCGTATCTGTATCCATATCCAGTATATTCATGCAGGTACATACTATATCCTTAAAAACGGATACAGACGCAGATTCGAAACGAAACTTATCATCAATATCATTTTCATCCCTAGTCCAGAGAGCCCACTAGGAAGCCTTCGAAGGGTAACCGGCAGCTATTTTTTTTTGTCTTTTTGAGAAATCTCGCCTGCTTATATTTATTCTCAACAATGCTCATCAGTACAAGGTTGTGGTCATGGGGGACGCCCAGCCAAACATGTCTCCCTAAACCTAGATTACAACCGAATTTAACGAGATTATGAGCTTCAAAATTAAAATCTCTACGTTCATGGATAAAATTACATGAAATGAAAGCTCCCTTCCTAGCATTAACTTCCTGAATAATAGCTCCATGAAGACCACGGGACCCTTGATGTAAGTCCTTCACCATTCCTTCACAATCAGATACAATGTGAATCCTGACTGCTCCCAAGTCTTCCGTTAGAGCCATTGCCTCCCGGCATGTAAGGGCTTCTATAGCGATGGTTCGGTGTAGCCAGCATACACAATTAACGATGAACCATCCCTGCAAATCGCCGCTGCTACTAGTTGCTCATGGGTATAAGAGCATCTCCAGCCGTCCCCCCGCCGAGCCCCTCAGGACCACTTTTTTCACCCCGACGCTAAAAGAATGAGCCAGTCGGACCCCTAAGATCTCGTTTTGCGCCGGATTTAGTCAAAAACACAGCTGGCGAACTCGAACGAGACCGAGGAACCTGGGGGCAGCTGGGAGGCACTGGCGCTATTCTCTTTTCCTTTTCGGCCCACTGTCAGCCACTTTCCCCTCTTTCTCTCTCTCCTCTCTCCTCTTTTTCCACCGAACACAACACACAAGCCGTGGAGACGGGCGAAGCGGGAGCGGCAGCCAACCACCATCGACGTGCTCGCCGCGGGCAACCTCCTCCCCCCCCCGCTCCCTGCCCGGCCGTCGCGTTCGACGCCGGCGAGAAGACCTGGGCGCGCTGTCGTGCCTCCGCGGGCGCGAACAGGACGGCCTGGACACGGCGAGCCTGCGGGTGCGGGGCAGGCGCGACCATGGCCTGGACGCCCGGGAGGCCTGGGCTCGGCCGTGGCGGCCGTCGTGGGAGCTCGCGGACAGCCTGGGAGCGTGGGAGCTCACGGATAGCCTGGGAGCTGGAGCTGGAGCTCGGCCGTGGTGGCCGCCGTGGGAGCTCTCGCTCCTGCCCGTCCGTCGCCTCTCGTGGCGGCCTCCCTCTCGCCGTCTCCCCTCCCCGAGGCCGCGCCTCCCGACCTCCCGATCTGCTAGACATGGCATGGCCACGCTGCGACGAGGTGGAGGATGGGGAGGACGACGAGGAAGAGCCGGACGAGGAGGAGGAGGTCAGCGCGGGAGGAGGACCAGGAGAGGAGCGACGCGAGGCCGCGGCTCACCTTGCTTCCCCTGTCCTCCGCGCACCATCACTGCAATGACGGGAGCAACATGGAAACGGCCGAGG